AAAGTGTGGTATATATACATATTAAGGACATTAAGTGAAATATGCCAGACACAGAAGAACAAATACTGCATGATCTCACTTATACGTGGACTCTAAAAAAAAAAATGATCTCGAAGGTGTAGAGAGTAGAACAGTGGTTACCAGAGACTGAGGAGGGACTAGGAAAAGAAGAACAGGGAGGGATTGGTCAACAGGCATGAAGTTACAATTAGACAGAAGGAATAAGTTCTGATGTTCTACTGCACAGTAGGGTAACTACAATTAACAATAATATATTGTATATTTCAAAAGAGCCAGAAGAGAGGTTTTGTAATGTTCTCACCACAAAGAAATGATAAATGCATGAGGTGACGCACATGCTGACCACCCTGATTTAATCACTATACAATGTATGCATGTACTGAAACATCAAATTGTTTATATGTACACTTACAATGTGTCAAACAATAAAAAACCAAAAAAGTATGAAATTTGCAAACATAATTAAATTAGCCCAAGATAAAAAGAATATTCTATATAATCCTATTAAATAAAGTTAGAAAGAACAAAAACAAAGAAAGAAATGTGTCACTCCCGAAACTACTAGAGAGAAAAAAAAAAGTACCATAAAAAGTGGTACTTTTTCACAATGCAAGAAGCACAGGAAGAGAATTAAAATGTACAAAATAAGGCCAGATGTATTAGTGATCCTAATAACTATAAATGATTTGATTACATAGTTTAAAGTTACAGATGGGTTATAAAAGCAAAATCCATGTTATTTGGAAGAGATACATCTCAAGCAGATAGAAACTGAAGGAAGAGGCTGGAGAAAAAAGAATAAAGAATTCTAATTTAAAAACAGAAAGAGGCTGGGCACGGTGGCTCATGCCTGTTATCCCAGCAGCTCGGTAGGCTGAGGTGCAAAGATCACTTGAGGCCAGGAGTTGGAGAGTAGCCTGAGCAACATAGCAAGATCCAATCTCTACAAAAAATAAAATAAAATAATTGGTTTCTCATGGTGGTGTGTGCCTGTAGTCCCCCCTACTCAGGAGGCTAAGGCAGGGAGGATCATTTGAGCCCAGGAGTTTGAGGTTGCAGTTAGCTGTGATCATGTCACTGCATCCCAGCCTGGGCAACAGAATGAGATTTTGTCTCTAAAAAAAAATGTTTAAATAATAAAACTTTAAAAAGTAAGAGAGATACCTCAAGGCAAAAGAATTAGAACACTAAAATTTGGATATTTCATATTGATAAAAAATAGTCTTTTAAGACATATCAGTCATGAACTTAATGCACAGGAGAACATAACCTTATATAAAGTAAGATCTGGTTAAAATCCAAGGAAAACTAAACAAATCTACAATCATGATGGAAAATTTTATC